AAAATCGCACTTAGAACTCAAGGTACCTCCCGAAGGTACCTTGAATTCAAGTGTCAGCGGATACCGCCAGCACTCCAAGTGGGCTTTTTTTTTTCCTTTCTTTTTAAAGTTTTTTAGCAGGCGATCCTGGTCCAGGATTGGTCAAGACGTGGAGTTTGGTTTCAAGTGCAGGTTATTCTTCCTCAAGTATACATGAAACCATATATCGAGTAAGTGTGCACTTGAACCTCAACTTTTTTTTTTTTTTTTTTTTTTTGAGAAACATAGTACTTTTTATTCCAAATGAGACCACCGAGGCCCGGGAACATACCCCTACCGGTGGAAACTTGTTGAGGTCATTACTCCAACAGAAAAAATTCCATAAGAAATGAAAGTTGAAAAAATATTCCATAAAAAAAAAATCCTTCATATTTATAAATTATCATTCCAATGTTTGTCCAATTCTAAAATTTTCAATTTAATTTGATAAGTTCCCGTCTAAATATGAGTTTTCCCTTCCAACTACATCTATTTGTTCAAAATGGAATTAAAGTCTGGATAAGTTTATGAAATGTTTTAATTAGACTTTCATTCTATTACAACAAATATCGTCTAATTTCGATTGGATTAACCTATTTATGACTGGAAATCCTTACTTAGAATGACAGTCCAATTAAAATATTTCATGAACTCATCCAGACTTTCATTCCATCTCTAGCATGCAGTTCAAATAAGAACGGATACCCCATTCCTAGAAGGAAAGTTTTCAAGTAAGACATAAAATTTTAAAATTGGAATTATATTTTTTAAGATGAAATAAAAATTTGGAATTTAGAATACAATTTTACTCTATTATTATTATTTAATTCTTGAAATTTTTTCTGTTGAATTACAAGTGTCCGACCGAACAATGACAGATGCCACGTAGAGCCCCACACTTTCAGTTTTGCTGCAATTCGTTGTTGGATCGCTACCCCTTGGGTCGCGGACATCAATTCCGAGTTAATCATCACCCCTAGGAACCGCTCCCCTTCTGCTGAGTTCACCCTGTGCATACCCCGTTCCACCGTAAGATAAAATCCTCTTGTAAGATGTACGCAAACTTATTATAGTTCACCTATACCTCCAACAACATCGAGTATTCCTGGAGGACAACTTTGATCGCTGACAGCGAGGTGAGTGAGTTCTCCGAAATCAGGAAGAGATTATTTGTTAGCGCTTTTGCCCTGCACTCCTTTCCAGCCCCTAGCAGGAGTCCCTTTATTAACTGATGCTTCCGGATGCAGTTCAGTGGCATCTCCAACTGCAGTACGAACAGCAGCGGGGCCAACGGGCAACCCTACCGAAGGGAGCGGGTAAGCTGAAACGACCTTGACAAGTGACCATTAACATGTACCGCTGAAGATGCTGTTGTGTACATTGCAATCATCCATCTGCAGAAACCTTCTCCAAACCCCATCTTCCTCAGCGTCGTAAGTGTAAAGGACCAGCCTACTCTGTCTTAGGCCTTCTCTAGATCCAATAACAGCACGGTCATGTCCCTATTCTCCATCTACAACACTTCTACTGACTCAATTGTTGTCAGAATGTTGAGGCAGATTGACCTACCTTTCATGAACGCCCCCTGATTCCGCTCCACGAGCCTCGAGAGCAACCTCCCTAACCTTATCGCCATCGTTTTAGCCAGGATTTTGTAGTCCACATTTAGAAGGGAGATCGGGCGGTAATTTCTCACATTGGCCTTATCCTGTTTCTTGAACATTAACGAAATGGTCCCGAGAGTCATCCCCGCCCCCAACTTTTCCCCCACTAATACCACGTTGTATATCTCCACAAGTGGCGGGCCCATAACTTCCCAACAGCAGCGGAATAATTCCACCGTAAGATCAATTTTCCCCGGGGATTTCCCTGGTGCCATCACTTCCAGGGTTTACGCTAGTTCCTCCAGCGTCATCGATCTGTCTAAACTCAGTCTTTCTTGCACTGTCAGTTCCACCTCAGTCTGCTGCCACATCTCGGTGTCCTGTGACAGATCTGTATGTGGTGAGTCCATTAACCTTCTCGTGGTCAGGATATCCAAGTAATAGAGGCGTGCAAACTCGAACATTTATGTAGGGTCCGATGCCAGGGCCACTCCTGGGTCAAAAGGATGATCCAACTCGACGACTTGGTGGTGTGCTGCGCTCGGTAAGAGCCTGCGGAAGGTTTATTTGGTCAACCTATCATGGGTTATGACCCCTTTAATCTTCAATGTCTCCTCCCACTGTGCATGTTTGTCTGCTTATATTTTTTCTCACTTCACCAACCTTCTCGCTCTTTCATCCACCCATGTTTGTTCCGAAATTGGATGTTGCTCCATCCTCCTCTTTGCTTCCTCTACGGACCTCTTAAACTCCTCCTCCCTGTTTCTGTCCCTGGCCAAAATTTGAAAGCACACATTCATCATGCCTGAAATAGTTGCCATTTCTCTATCCCACCAGTCTGCTGCCGAAGTGAACTGCTCTTTAGTTGAGCCCCATGCTTCCATGTACTCCTGCACCCAAGCCTTCAGCCCCGGATCCACCAAATTCAAAGAGTTCAACTTGAAAAAACTTTACCCCCCCCGGAATGTCCATTACAACCTCCGCAATCACTGGCTTATGGTCTGAGAGGGGGTGAGACTGTTGCCTGATCGCTGTTACCTATTGGCTCATCGATTTCGAGACAAAAAAAAAAAAAAAGCGGCGCCTTGTCACCTCTCTTCTATCTCTCCTGGGATTCGTATACCACGTGACCCCAGTAAGTCTGGGTTTAGTGAGCGAAACGGGTTTGTCAAATCATGTGTCTGCATCATCTCGAACAACGCCTATGCGTCCCTTCTGCCTGCTGTCCGTGAGCCTTGCACCATAGTCTCGACCAGCGAGACATTTCAGTCTCCTGTAATGATCATGTGGCATGCTTTTGGTATCCTCCCTGCTAGTCTTTGCAAAAATTCCACTCTCCTCTGCAGGTCCGATGGTGCATATACCGTCAACAACAGCCAGTTATCATGTCCCACTTGTAGGCAGAACCAAGCCCATCTGCCCCACAAGTCCGCCTCTGCGTCAATAATTAGCGGTTCCAGGTCTTTGTGTAACACGACCCCTACCCCTCCCTTCGTACCCTGTGCCGGGGACCACACTTGCGGCCCCTCCCACCACCCTGCACATCTTTGAAGTTTGACCTCATCTAATTTAGATTCTTGTATGCACAGTCCATTTAGCTTATCTGAAAACAGCCACGATTTGATCCTCTTCCTCTTCCCTCTGTCCGGGGGACTACCCATCCCTCTAACATTCTAAGTTGCTAACTTTAATCTAACCATCAGAGGCATTGACCGCTGTTTGACCTTCGATGCAGTCTGATTGGAGCAGAGTGTCGTCACCCCGACGGTCGTTTCCCCCAGTGGGTGTGTGCGCCATTGGGTTATCTCTTGAGGACTCCCGTGATTCCACTGACCTGGTGGACGATATCCAGGGCGCTATCAACGGATCCCTCACAAAGGGGGAGTGGGGGTTCTCCGAGTCCGCCAATTTCGCATTTACATGCAACAGAATCCGAGTTGACATTCGAGGGCAATCATTTCCAATTCTTGCACAGTCTGTTCTCGAACAGGATCTAGCTTGAACCACTGCAACCCCGTCAGAGAGAGGGTGTCCGATGTAACAACATTGATCCTGGCATCGAGCAGGGAAAAATAGAACTTATAAATCCTCTCCTCTAGTGGGACTATAATGCTCACCATCGTCGATCTTGGAATCAACCGAAAAGGAAACGTCTCTCCATATAAATCCTTAGCCTTTGTGACAATCTCCACTGGAGTCGGGGTTCTACTCGTTTCTACCGATGGGAGCACAGGGCGACCATTATTTGCCATTCCCAGAAAAAACGACTCCTTCCTCCGTTGTTGTACACATCAAAGGAACCATTCTCCTTTCAACCCTGCTTCTATCCCGATGACGGATGACCGAGGCCCTCCCACCATGGTTTCCCCTATATTCCAATTCACTTTGTGTATTTGATGATTACCTTTGCCTTCCGCGTGGTGCCCCCGAACTACTTGTAGAGGATTTTGAACATTCTGGGCCCAGATCTCTGCCCCCTGACTCTAGCAACTCATCTCCCAAGACCTCACTTCCTACTCCCACTCGTAATTCTGACAACACCGAAAGAGCTAGACCCTCTCCCCCCTAAGCCCCCTGTGCCCCCTGTGCCCACTGTGCCCCCTATGCCACGTCCGTTGTTTCCCGACTCCTTCCTCTTTTATCGCTGTATGCTCCCAATCTTCTCCTTCGAAGAAAAAGACGCCCCTGCGAATTGCCCATGTCCCCACGCCTCCTATGATCCTCCCGTTCAAACCCCTGCCCCTAGTAACTAACGACTCCCTCCGTTTCGGACCTTGCGACCCCACCTGTCCTGACTGGTATCTAGTACCCTGATTATGCACATCCATCCCGTAGTCCTCCTACCAGTAGGACTCCGCCCCAGGGGGAGGATATCCCCCTATCAGGTGGTTGTACACATGTAGTGGCTCTAAGACTCTAGGGGGGTGTGTGGTCGATGGGGAGTGACAAATTTGTAAGTAGGCGTTCCGATGGGGCATATAGGGCGGCGACCTCTGCAGGTAAGCGGGCTGTGGGTTCGAGCTGGGATGACCCGTCCAATACGACGCTTGCGACCACTCAGGTATCAAAGACGACGAGTTTGAGAAGGGGGGTGGTGGCATGCGATCATCGGGGTAATGTGGTTGGGGAGTGGTCGGGTGTGGTGGCTGATATCCAGGTGTCTGGGTGATGGGGCCTAGAGGTTGTCGAGGGATATGACACCCTGCCTGCTCTCCGAGTTCTAAATCACCCGCTAGCGGGCCACGCCCTCCACGAGTTGTGGGTAGGCCCCTCGTTTGTTGGAGTTCCTGGCGAGATCGATGGTCTTGTCGACTTTGCGTGACTGACGGTATCTGTCCTGCCCCTTGGTAGGCAATTCCTACCTCACGTTGTTCTGCCTCCGTATGAGGTCTTTTATCCTCCTGCACCTGCACTCGATCTCCTTGCTTCGCTGACGCTTCCTAGTTCGACGGGGGTCCATTATGCTGTGGGAGACGAGAGTTTGACCACTGTCTCGTCGACCTCTCCCCTTGTGCTGCCCTAGGACAATTGTCCTCTGTGTGAAAATACCACCGTCTGGTTCGATACCAATCGGTGTACAGGGTCGCCACCTCAATCTTCCAAATTTCGCCTTTCAGCGACTCTACTGCCAGTGTATTTTCCACCCTATACCTCGCCTGTGGATCCATGTCAAACTTTACGTTCATCAACTTCGACCGCGAACGGTCCGCTTCCGGGGGGTGCATGTTTTTGACTCCCCCAATCAACCCTTCCACCACGGATGTCAGATAGTAGAAGCCTTCTAAAGGAACTCTGAGAGCCACGATCCAGAAATTGGTCTCGGCCTCCTTCAACTTGAGTTCCTTTAGGTCAACTTTCGTCATCCAGGGGTTGAATATCACAGGGTAATCCACCCCTCTCAGATTCAGGTTCGTCGAAGCTTTTTGTACCATCCACAGTACTACCTCCGGGGACTTTGCCACGTACGAGATTACATTTGCTCCTTCGAAAGTGACTTTACCTCTTCTTACCTCCGGGCTAAATAGCCTTCTCGCCATCCACCCATCCTCGTACGCCCGAATCAAGTCCTCTTTGACCCCTCTCGTAAGATTTCGAGAGTTATCCTGGAAAACCACTGGCATGATGATTGTTCTTTCCTTCAACCACTTCTCCTTAATCTCATCCAACGAACCATTCACTTTGAACCTCTTCCCCCTTGCATCAATCACGACCTCACCAAAATTTGGATTGATCTGCATGACTCCCTTGTCATAGCTTTGCCCTATTGACTGCCTTACTTGATCTTCCATTGACCAGAAATTCGTCGGTGGATGCGGACGAATCCCTCCTTCTAGGTCTTCTGCTTCCATATCTGCCATAATTGGAACTCTTGATGGTAGCTACTCTCTTCCGCCTTAGCAGCTCGAGTCTTCCTTGTGAGTGTCTGTCCTATCGAATTTTCTTCTTCTCAACCATGGTTTCCTCCTCCCATGGTGTTGCACTGATTTTCCTACTTCTCCCTTCAGCCCTTTGTTACCGTCAAAGCCACACCATACCCCTCATCCCTAACCTCTCTACCTACCTCCTCGTTTCCCTCCCCGGACAAGAGCTATCGCCTTCCTCTTCGTTCCCTAACACACCTCCTACGCTCTGGTATCTCCAGCACCCGCACTCCCAACCAAACAAGGACATCCACTCTCGCAAACTGATACTACCCCATCTTCACTTGAAATCTCCCGCGATAGTGTTGACTTCCTCGAGCTGCCTTGATTGACTTCACGAAGACCCGGTGCCCTCCTTCGGCCTCTCATAAGCGGGGGTCTATATCACAAGCTCTTCTCTGCCTCTTCCTAATTGAAGGCTTCGGGGGCGTAACTGGCTGCTTCGACGAAACCCGGTCCAATTACCCGGACTGCGTGAGTGAACGCGTGTCATGGGATTCCCGCTCTCCGTCGGCGATGGCGGAGTTAGCAGCGAAGCGGTGGCCCAGGCCAAATGCCGTTCCAAGGTGCAGCGAAGCGCTATCCCTCCAGCTGCGGCGCCCCCCCCCCCCACTGCCTCCGCACTTGAGAGTTTCAAGTATGCACACTTGAGAGCAGGAATTCAAAGTGAAAACATTACGGCGGGGTCATTAGGGTCATTAGGGAGGGGTGGAACGAAGAATTTTCCGTCAACCCTTGAGTTCAAGTGGTGTCGAACGAGGCCCAAAGCCTCCAAAACCGGTTTTCATCTTCACTAGCAAAGAGGATCGGATCGAATGCCTGAATGTGGACGAGGTCATGGAGATGTGCAGGAAATCGAGATTGAACTGCTTTTCTGCATCTCTGCATAAAACACATCCAGATTTTTTTTTTTTTTTTTTTTGGTACACACCCAGATTCCGGAGCTCGATCCTACCCTCTTTGCTAGTGGGACCTCGGGCCACCCGGTTTTCGTCTCCACTACCGGCGCGTGTCCCCCGTCTCGCGCCCGTCTCCACTACCGGCGCGTGTCCCCCGTCTCGCGCCCGAGCCGCTCTCCCGCCAACCGCGCATCCGTGCTTTGCGCGGCGGTTCTTTGCGCGGCGGTTCGCATCTTTGTTTTTGTTTCCCGTCGCGCATTTTTTTCTATCCGTGCCCGTTTTTTACACCTCGTGTTTTCCGTCCTTGGATTTTCCCGGGGGCCAGGTCCCACTACCGGGTAGCAGCGTTGAGTTTCCTCAACACCTAAATCTGGACGTGTCTGTAGATATGTGCAGAAATCGCGTTGAGTTTTCTCAACCGCACATCTCCACGAACGCGTCCAGATACTCAACGCTTCTAGTGGGACCTGGCCCCGGGGCTACCGCGCTCGCGGAAACTCGGAGTCTTGATTCTGCCGAGCCCACCGGCGCTGCAGTCTTGCCCCGAGTACAACATACGGTCATTATAGCCGAATTTAGACGGAAAAGTGCACCAAATTCAGCAATAATGACCGTGCGTTGTATTCGGGGGAAGAGCGTAGCTGGAAGTGGGCCCTTGTTTTTTTTTTCTCGTGAATGCTGCCGATGCACCAGGCTCATATTTTCTGCGAGGGGGAAGAGTTCGTTCTCTGGCTAAGGGTCAGATCCCACTACCCTGGATTATTCGTTTTTCACCTTCGATTACAAAGATCAACGGTCAGAAATGAACAACAGGGGCTAGTGGTATCTGGCCCTAAGCTCAAACCTGTATATGTCATCACGTGCAAAACGAATGTCGCGGCGCCAGTGCGCACTTCTGTCCCTCGATCCGATCTCCTGCGTGCCTCTCTCACTGTCTGTTGTCTGTCTCCTGGTCACGTCCCCCGCTAGCACGTTCGGCTTTTACCTCTCAACTCCTCCCTCCTCTATCGCTCTTTTTCTCTATGCACTCTGATGCTGGTGCTTCTTGCTTCTTGCCTTAGCAACATCCTCTCACGCCTCTGCTTCAGTCTCTTTGAGTCCTTTCAGCTTGATCTTTCCTCTTCTCTCTACCTGCACCTCTTCGCCTCTCCGTCTCTCTCTCTCTCTCTCTCTCTCTCTCTCTCTCTCTCTCTCTCTCTCTCTCTGTGTCTGTGTGTGTGTATGCTGGGTCATGTGTTGTGTGTAGTATAGATTACTCTCAAGCAACTCTGTCTCTCTCTCTCCCTCTCTCTCTCTCTGTGTGTGTGTGTGTGTATGCTGGGTCATGTGTTGTGTGTAGTATAGATCACTCTCAAGCAACTCTCT